TTAACACCATGACAGACGGACTCCTGCAATCCACAGAACACTGCACACACTGATGACTTATAAGAGTATAAGAGTGTTCCAGGGTGGATTTTTCCTCAAGGCAGCAGCTATAGATCTAACTGGAACTTGAAATAAAAGTGTGTCAGGCAGCCGGGTCCCTTTGATTTGTCTCTGCTCACTTTCTCCTCATGTTTTCCACTTCATTCATCGTCCCCTCTGCGTACGACACAGTGATGACAGCCCCCTCCTGCATGCGTTCTCCAAAATCACCTCTGTGACGATCAGTTTCATTACTTAGATTTTTAGAAATAAAACTGTGCAGTCGCAAAAGTTGGGAAGGAGCGAAGATGAGAGGGGGAGAAAGACGGAGGGTGAGAAGAAAGGGAGACGAGAGGAGAAGCTTGGCCTAGAGCTGTGGAAAGTTGTAATGGATGTTATGCGAGCAGCAGGAGAATAAAAAGCATGTGGGCGTTTATATGGAATTAAGACTTAGACAATATGGTAATGACTACCTAAGACTTTTCAGTGTTTTTTTTTTTTTTAAGAGGATTGTATTATTTTCTCTCCCCAAATAACACATGTATATTTACAGATACACACATTTAAGAGTGTGAATGACATAAAACAAGCTGATAAAATGTTCTTTCACTCAAAAACAATCAAAAGTGAGGAGAGAATTAAAAGCTTTTATTTTCTTGATTTGAAATAAATTGATGCATGATGCCAATCTCCTGATGTGGAGGACAAAACGGTAACTCATCCTTTTATTCAAAACAATAAAGTGGAGGAATGATATATTTAGAAAATGAATAAACAGTCTAGCCACATATATATGCCTATATATTTCTTTTATAGCAGACCTGTAGGCTTGAGTGCATGCAGGCCCCCATTTATCAGGGGTCCGCAGGCTCCCACGCCTACAGGCCCCCTATAAAAGACATAACAAGCCTGAGGGCTCAATGTACGATCATAGGTGACAACATGGAGACAGTTAAAATGCTCCTGGTTCTAATAGAGACAGAGATGACAGCTGCTCTGAGGAAATGAGAGAATACTTCTGCTCCGATGTGTGTGTCGACTAACTCTCACTGTCGTCCCCAACTGTCACTGACAAGCCACTCACCTGGTGACATGTTCATGTGTGTCAGCCCCTGTACAGGAAGTCAGTGGAGCGACCTGTCAACATGGAGACTGGGTTCAATTCACAATTCTCACAGAGAATAGAGACCAGGAGAAAACAACAGTGTGGACCATGGTCATAACAACTGTATATTCTGTTTACAATATAATTTACTTTTCCTGAACTTGATTGTTTTGAACTTTTACTTATGTTATTTTAAAATGTTCCTTTTTCCATTACTTTTAAATAATGTGTTTTATTCGTTGTCTTTGATTTGATATTTGATATAATTTTCTTGTTTCCATAAATCTTTTGTTTATTTATACATTTTGTGAAGCACTTTGTTATGGCAGTTTTAAATGGTGTCTTATAATTATCAATTCATGACAACAATCCCATCAATAATGACTTTCACTATTTAAATCATGTTAACTAAAAGATTGATTTTATAGATATATTTGAATCATTTAACCTCACTTAAACATTGAAACTAAGGATATCTGTGTCGGATCACAAAGCAGTTTTATTCAATGTGGTTTTATCCCAACAACCTTTTAATCACACTGCACCTATTTGCCACTACATTTTAACTCTGTCAGCAAGTTTTCTTTTTTAAGTAAAGAACATTTTATTTTATACCAGAAATGATACATTTTCTCGACGTGTAAATCAGATGTTTTATGTAGAAACGGACAAGTGAGCATTAGTGCTAGCTACAGTTGCTGAGAACAACCCCACACAAGTCAAGTATGAAATGAATCTATCTGTCCATCTACGAATCGACATGCATTTATCATGTTACAGGTTCAACAATGAAAACAGCTGATCCGTCCCTGAGGAGTTCTAGCTTCACATTTTTCTCTCGATGAGAATCTAACAAGTCTCCTTTACTCACGCAGCCGTTCATTGCAACATAAAGGTTCTTTTCTGAAATGACTCACATGAATTAGTTTGTCTTCACTTATTTTCTGACACGTTGTTTGTTATACAGTGAGATACAAGTATTCCCTGAAGGCTTCCACAGCCCATGAGCGGCTTCAAACTGGCAGCCAGTCGAACAAGGTCAATTTTCTAACCTTGCATTATCCCCACTGTATATGTTGTGTCTTCAGAGACAGTGTTTAGAACAATATGGTGCTTTGTTCCCTCAGCCTACAAAGCATCTTTTGTTGCAGAATGATATGGTGCATTGTCCTCCAGCCCATGAAGTATCTCTTGTTTTAGAGTAATCTTGTCTTAAAAAGCTTCTTTACAATGAAACGGCACACTGCTCTTTCACTGTCGTCTGCCATTTGATTTATGTTGTACTCTAGAGCTCAGAAGAAAGAAAAAAAAAATTTGTTTGCATGTACATCCTGCAGGGGAAATGTAATTTTACCTTTGTCGATCAATTGGAACCATTGTATTCAAATGCCTTTCACTCACTATTCTAATCCATCCTCTCCTATTAGCAAACATATGGGCAGGCTGACTGCAGAGGCTGTTATGTAATTAATAGTCATGGTGGGGCAATTAAAATCAGGAGGCTTTATGGGCTTGCTGATTAAGATATTTAAAGCATGAAGTACCCAAGGCTTCTTATTTTTTGTGCAAGTTTCTGCATATCATCGTGTTTATATTCGTTTGCTTTTTTGTTTCCTCTAGCAAATGTGTTTGTGTGAAAAAGCAAGAAAAAACCCGAGCTCTGCCTTTTGTGTTTGTGCGAGTCGCAAGAGTGCGTACAAGACGAGGAACAGTTTTCACACTTATCCTTGACTTTTCTTTTACCCGCACACAATTAATTACAGCTCAGAATAGCAGCCCTCGGTTCAGCTGTTTGGGAAATGAAAACACATCAGTGTAAACGCGCGGCCGGCCGAGTGTTGTCTCGCAGCTCGTCAAGACCCCCGCACCGCCATCCATTTGCAATGACAATCATTATCGCCTGAAAGCAGTGGTCCCCAACTCTATTCTTGAGGGTATGAGTGTGTTCGCAGCCCCACAGTAATCCATATTCACTTTCTTAATTGGTTCAATTAGTTCTCTCAGATACTGTATGAATTTTACACTCTGCCTGTCCCCAGATAAAGTCCAGTTAACATATTACTGGGCAGAGGTTACAAATTGGGTTCCCACTGGTGAGGCTTAATACACACAGGATTTGAAGTCATTTATGTGGTTGAGTGTGCTAAAAACTGTATTACTGACACTGTAATGAGAAAACACAAGCATCTCAGCCTCACCGTTTAATCATTCACAAGAATTACACTCCTGGGAATTCCCACATGTGTGCGCACAAACACACACACACACCTACATGCTGTATCAGACACAGATAACTACATAATGGGAAGTAAATACTCGAATAATATCATGTTTACTAAGTCAGCCTTTATTTCACTAAACTAATTCTGTCAGGATGGTGTAACTGTACAAACACACACACACACACACACACACACACACACACACACACACATACACGTAGGCAGACAGATAACACATATGCCATTTCAGACACAATAATAATGTAACTAGACAATCTCATAATATCATGTATATAAACACTAAGTTATGCCCTCAAATTCACTTCAGTAATTCTGTGGGGGCTTTATAACTACACACACACACACACTTGCACACACATACACACATTTATGAAGTCAATGTTGTCATGTGGATGAAGCGATTCAGTTTGTGACATGCTAAACTATGCGGCTTCATGGTCACTCTCTTCTAACGGCCGAGTTAAACAGCCACAACAAACCTGAAACCACACACACACACACACACACACACACACACACACACAGTCAAACAAATGAGGCTGTTGCATTACTGTCCGTCTAGTGAATGGAGAGCATGTATTGATCTGGAGAAGAGGCTCGTACATCAGTGTGGTTGGGCAAAATGCCATTAAGGGGGGAGAGAAGTTATGTCGACACACACACATGATTTTTATTCTTTTATCAGGACAAACTGATTGCAGCTCTTCGTCGTGTGTGTTCAACTTGCCTTACTATCTTAATTGTATTCTTCATTCCTCCATCAGTTCTCCTTCCTAGTTTCCTATCCCTTGTTCCCTTCTGGCTTTCCACTGTCCTGTCACCGTCTCTTGTGTCCAGCTCAAAGTTCTGCATGACACTGACCGTACAGTGCATGCGGCTCTGGAGAGTGCCCCGTCTCTCCTCTGCCGTGCTATTTGTGGGGTCTGATGGGCAAACTGGGAATAGCAGGATGATTCAACGCTACGGGGTCAGGATCTATGATAATGTACCGTGGGGAACATTTCCATGTAATGAACACAGTACATCTTCTTTAGAGGCCCTCTTGAGGAATGAAGATGAGGACACACAGATAAAGAGGAAGCCAAAGAAAAGCAGATCAAGGGAAAATCCAGGAATGCTAGAGGAGAGGACAGAAAAGAAGAGAGGAGCAGAGGAGGAGAATAGTGGAAACGACAATAACGAGAGGGAAAATGTAATGGGATAGACAAAGTGAAAGAGATAATGTTAAGGCAGTACAGTCGGCAGGTTGTGCTCCCTCTGCAGCACTTGTGAACACTGCTGGCTGTGTTGAGCGTTCATGTATGTATGAATTTGTGAATGAATGTCTGCAAGACCCTTTGTCTGAAAGCTGAAACACATTGTCATGGTGGCTCTTGATTTGTGTGGATAAAAGAAGCTATAATGAGCCTCATGATTCCAACTACTTAGTGAGCCATTCGACTCAAGCTGTCAGTCGATCACAGGGACTCCCAGGTCCCCTCTGCGTCAAGCCTTGACTTTTGTCCTAATGTCTTGAGCAATAAAGTAATAAAATGATGACAGACATGCAAACACGCCCAACACACAACCTTGCATCTGTTAAACATTCATTATTCTCTTCCTTTCCCTTGCAGAGAGAAAAACTGCCATGAGCCACGGAGCCAAATTAGGTTGGACCAAGAGGTCCGCTGCCGCTGGAGCCTGATCCGCTGGGCACACAAGTGTGAAATTGGTGAGTAGATTACATGTGAGGGCTGCGATGTGCCAGCAGCTGGTCCATCGTTACAGGTCAATACCGATCAAACACGGCTGATAATATGTGCACCGAGTCCATTTTTTCACTTAACTGTGCAGATATCAGGACACAAGTGAATCTTTTTATTGGAAAGCAAAAGTATTTATTGATAGAAATCCTTTATAAAAGACTATACAGTGTAATTTCCATATAAAATTTCAAATTTTTTTTCATCATTCAAACTGAATATTTTACATATAAGGCAACAGAATATGATTGCTTTCATTGTTGCAGTTGTTGATCCCTGACAACTTCTAAATATACAAAAAACAAGCGTCTTGTGAATCCTCACATCATTGACTCATAATTGAAGTTTAGTCCCAGCTTGACCCATTTGCAGCTCTCGGCTAAGCGATCAAGGAACCAATACAACGCCTCACTGCCCTCTGTCAATACACCTGGTCTGACCTATTGGCTGAGGTGGAGAGGGGAGCAGATCCATAGCATTGACAGCCTCCCCCTTCTCCTCTGCTCACATTAGATCCACTCTATTAAACTCCTTATGCATCTGTCTGTAGGCCATTGGCTGGGTGCTGGGAAACAATTGGAGAGCCCTGCTGGTGAGCTCCACTACGGCTGAAATGAAATGCATCACGTTTACATGCCGCTGAAGACAAATGTTAAAGGCAACAGTGGGAATTATCTTTGAGTCGGCACAAAGTGCTTGAGTGTTCTTGTGAGCTCATGTGACGTGTGGTTTTTACATAAAGTGATGAGAACTGCAAGATGTGCGTAAGAGCGGATACATATTTATCTGAAGTGTAAAAGGACATTTTGGGAAAAGCACTGATTCAATCTCTGTTGTAAATTAGATGAGAATATCAATTCCAAGGGAAATAAGGAAACTGCAAACCTGGTTTTGTCCAAATGTTTTTGACATCCACCAACCACCACATCAAATTTTTTTTATTTACATGTTATATTTCATGATCTGGTTATAAAAACAATGGGTTGTTTTACAGTGATATAATAAACTGTGCAGTACACCACCCCCCTACAGCATTTCATTGTTTTGTATTAATTTGTGAGTTTTAAAGGTGCTGGCAGGTAAATACTGTCATGTTTGCATGAGACTGATTTACCGACTGTAGACTGTCGGTTCCTGTCTCACGCAGCATTCTGCTCCCTTTCCTCTCTCTGCCTGTTACTGTTTACAAAATGTACTTGGATAAAGAGATTAAGCTGCGGACCTACTCGCTGAAGATTGCGAGTTTTGACAACAATTGGCAATCACACGTCTTTGACTGTTTTTGTTTCATTTTCTTTACAGGGAATTAACCCCCCCCAGTAATTGGGACTAGTAATTGGTGTCAAGACATAAAAACAAGCCGGAGTGTTTTTTCCCCCCTATAGCAGTATGATAATGGAGCCAGACCCTCCTCTAATGCTGACACAGTGTTGTGGAGATGCCAATGCAATGGCTGTGCGACACTGTCTTTACCCTGTTAAGCTAAGCTAACCAGTTACTAGCTTTATGTTTATATTTAGTGGCAATGATCTGCTCATCTAAGCACTTTCCCCAAAATGTTGAACTAGTCCTTTAAGGATCATGCCACTCTGTGGGTGTGTTTGTATTTGAGAAGTAATATGATTTTGGTAAATGCTGACTTTGTGTTTCTTTGTGTTTGCATTGTACAGTATGCTCTGTGTGTGTGGGTGTTTGAGAAGCTGTGTGCGTGGCCATGTGTGCAGCATCACTCAGGGGTGGAATGCAGGCGAATGGGACCATGTGGCACTGAGGATTCTGAAGGGTCAGACATGGCCACAGTCGTCACTCCCATCTTCTTCAGGGAACGCTCATCTGTCACCGAGATGGAGCGAGACAACGTAGGACGAGAGGCTGCTGGTGGCCCTGAGATAGATAGATGGATGGATAGATAGATAGATGGATATTATTTGCTCTGATAAGACAATTGTATTATTTCTGAAAGAAATGACAATCATAAAAAGCAAGAGACACTGAGAAGGAGATGAGAGACAGAGGTAGAAATGTGTTTATGTTGTAATTTATTTTTTAACCCCTCATTGGTATTCAACTCGCACAGTCATCTTTTTATTTGAGTTAATGACATTGAAAGATATAAATTAAAAAATAAAAACTAGTACACTCTGTAGCGGAGATGGACGCAGTATCAGAGTGCAGCCTGTAGGGGCTCAGGGCAGTGCAGTGAGCTGCAGCAGGTTGAGCAATGACTGCAGATTTGTTGCAGGTTGATGTCTCATCATCACACACACACACACACACACACACACACACACACGGAGAGAGAAAGCAGGGTGGGGGGTGGGGGGAGATGCTACAGGCCATATTGGCAATTCTACCCTTGATATCGCTCACATCCAGCTGAGGTTCACCACACTAACCAGAAGGGGGCAGGGTGAAAACACACACACACACACACACACACACACACACACACACACACACACACACACACACTCTCTCTCTCTCGCTCTCTCTCTCTCTCTCTCTCTCTCTCTCTCTCTGCAGTGGCTGCTTGGTGCGGGGGACAGTTCAGCAGGTGGCTGCATTACACTGTTTATTAGACCGACGCAGTCGCATTATCACTTCATGAGCACCACCCCAAACACACACACATCTGTCTTTCTGTCGTCCTTTTCTGGGCATGTACCCTCTGTCTCTCCCCCCCCTCCGCTCCTTGTGTTGTGAAATGCCTCCCCTGCTCTCCACTCTCCATTCCTCTCCCACAGATGTACACCAGCCATCTGGGTAGTTGTTGGGCAGCGATGCCATGAGTGGTGCAACAAACCTCTGTCCAAGCCCGACACGGCTTTTAATTCCTAATGATCTACACTGTGTGAGTTGTGTTTTAGCTGTTTTTCGCATTTCAGTATTTCCTCTGTACATCTCCCTGCTTATTATTTCAAATTTAAATAACATACTTTTCAAACTTACTGCTTTTACTCTGTGCCTCATCTCATCTTCTGCTCTCTCTACCTTTACCACTCTCACGTCCAGCTGTATTATCTCTCCTCTCCCCTCTGTCTCCCCTCTGTCTCCCCTCTATCTCCCCTTGTATCCTCTGTGGTATTTCAGTACAGTGCAGGTCAGGAGCTGCAATCTCACCTGTGTTGTTCTGGCTGGATTTGACTTTGCTGTTGGTCTTCTCCTGCATCGTTTGCTCGTATTCTCTCACCTCCTCCAAACTCAGTCCTGTGGGAGAAGCACAGTACAAATACAGACACTCAAAGCATTAGAACAGAGTATGGAATATTACAGGCTGTATATTGAAAGTAAAGGAAAAAACCACACTGCTCTGAATGTTTAAAATCTTGTGTGTGCATGTCTGACTCACCGTGCCATTCATCTATCCATGCTACCGCCTGCCTGTGGCCGACCAGAAGAATGTCCCTGATATTCTGATATAAAACCAGAGATCAAATCAAATGACATTAAAACATGCAATGTGTGTGAAACAATCTGTACCAGTTCACATTGTCAAAACACTGGAAAAACTTCAGTGTAATTCCTTTGAACAAATGAGATAATGGTTGAGATAAATGGAGACTTATCTCACATTAGTTGGAACTTATCTCAGGTATTATTTGCTCTCGTCAAAACTTCCCATAAACAGTGGCTTTGCTTTAACTGTGGGAAAAAGGGGCGTCGCTAGTTTGACTTTAAATGCTTTGAGAATTCTTTCATGCTTCATTGCTTTGCTTCACTGTGGAGGATAAATGATTTGAAAGTGATTCTAACTCATTCTTATGACCTGAAACTCTGCTTTGCTTTTTTGAACTGTAACAATAGACGCCTGCTCACTGTTTCATGGTGGAAACCATTACAGCACATTTCCTAATAATTCCAACAAAATAGTCAGTTGCATAAAAAGCAGGGAAGGGCTCACCTGAGGCTAAGAGCCTTCTTGGCATTTAATTATTTTCTATAAATTAATGTGGTAATCATTATTTTTTGTATAAATGCAACATATGGTGTATTCAAACGTGTATGTCTCAGACCCAACAGTCCCATTCTCTGTTTGGATCTGCACCAAATTCCACACACTTATAAATGTTAGTGATTTAGTTTTTTCATTAAAACCCATTAATAATTCTCTAAGAAATCTACATAAATGTTGAAAAATGCCCTTACAGGTTTGAAGCTCTGTGGTAAGAAACACACGCAGATGAAAATAAAACCTCCTTGGTGGAGGTAATAACCAATCAGGTTTATTGGACATCACCGTTTTACTGTATGAGTGAAAACAACATGCAAAAATCAGTGCTCAAAAAGGAGCAGAGCACTTTATGATATCCAATTAGTTTTAAAATCAAATTGTCCTACCTTGTATTACACCTGTACGTGCTCGTAACTGTAATTGCAGATCTTATCTTGATCCAACCCTCACGACATCATTACAGGGAAAAGGCATGAGGGGGGGAAAGAAAACTCTGTCTCACTCTGTGTATGAATTCCTCAGTCCTGGTCTGAAAGCCATAGACCTCAAAGCTGCACTGCACCCTCTTATAGGAGCACATGATGGGCTTGTGGTTGTCTCTCCAGCTCTCCTCCAGAGGCCCTCTGCCAGTTTTATTTGACTGCCAGCGACTCAGGTCCTGCACAGAGCAAACAGCCAGTCTATACGTTACTTGCCGACTCTGCAGAAACGGGTCCTGTGAGGCATCTTCGGGGGGGTGGGTATAGATGTGTGTGTAGGTGCATTTGTACTGTGTGTGCGAGAGAGAGAGAATGTGTGACAATATGTGAGAGGAGGTGCAAACAGATTGCCCAACACATCCCATCAGAGGAAAGCATGTTGAAACGCATTATGCATCTGTGACCAAAGCTGATTGGAAAACGTTTGTCTTTGGGGTTATTTACAGTTATATGTTCTCACAGTGTCACTTAATATGAAATGGGTGTGTTGGCAGTTATTTTTGCTAACCCTCTGCACACATTTGTTGTTGTGCACAATCTGTGTTTATGTGCGCTTGTCTGCACACGTCTGTGAACCCAGGCCTGTGAATCGACCTTTATCTCTGAGGACTTGCAGGTAGTAGAGAAGTGCAAAACCTTGGAGAGAAGGGAATGAAGACAGGCAGGTGTAAAAGACAAATGTGGGTGTTTTTACTGATTTATGCTCTTTCACATGCAGAAACACAGGAGTGTAAAGCAAAGTGAACGTGAACAAACGAGTTTTTCAGTTTCCACATTATCATTTGTAGATGCACATATCTGCTTTCCTCTCTGAGTTACATGAGAAGATTTAAGCTCTTAACCTGCTACAAATGGCTTCCCCACCCCTCCATCGGCATAGTGGTTATAAGTGAATTTCTTTTTTGGGAGAACTATCCCTTTAAATCTGAACTTTGAGAAGTGCCACATCAGCTGCCTCCTTTGTGTCAAGATTTATGCTAAGACTGCAGTTGTAGGCTTTAATTTCATATTAGACATAAGAGAGCGTTCTCAATCTGCTCAAACTCTTATCAAATAGTTGAATATGGTATTTATTAAACCTGATCATGCAATATTGCAAAGACAAATACACTCAGCTGGCACTTTATATCACATAGTTCGACAGCTTCAATATAATAACTGAATATTCCTCCATGACGGGTGGGGGGGGGGTTCATTGCACGACTGTTGTATTAGACGGCTGGGTCTTAAATGTTCCTAATAAACTGCTAACTGAGCCTAGTCGCTAAAGTTTTCCAAACACCACTGATTTGCTTTTGCTTTCTTTAACAGCACATGCTCATGTTTGTTTGTTTGTTACGGTACAGTACACACCTCCACCTCTTTGTAGTGCTTTTCAGGGATAGGGTCACTCAGGATATCCAGGAAACTCACACTCTCCGCTGGGGTCGGCGTGTCCTCAAACACCTACATCCAAACAGATGGGGGAGGTCGTACAGTATAATGAGAGTAGATACTCAAACGCACTCACACACACACACTCTCCCGCACAGTCGTGAGTAGATGAGTAACTGTGTAGAAACTAAGGTCACACACCATAACACCCCTCACTATATCCCACCCTGAGGCCCTTTGAGCAAATCACACTGGAGCAAAGAGAGGAGAGAACAGACAGAGAGGGCAGAGGAGAAAAAACGAGGATGTATGAAGGATATTAAAAGAGTGGGGGGAAAACAAAGAGTTATGAGAGCAGAATACACTTTTCCTTGAGAGAGAATCGAGGGAAACTAAGGAGAGAGGGGAGGCGGCACTTTTTAAAATACAGTGTATGTGCATTAAGCCCCAGTGAAGTCATTCATTTCACCGTTGAAAATAGGAAGAACCTGCCGTTAGAAAACACCTCGCTGCGCTCCCGTGGCGCTCCTGTTGGTCCTTGTCTGCTCAGGGTGTGACTCCCTCGTATGGTATAAGTTGCATTTGCTGGATGTGTTGCTCTTAACAATGTGTTCAGGGCATGGTGCTGTCACAGTGTTTGCATCCACTGTACAAATACTCCATTATGAATCATGTATTAAAAACGATACTGAAAGTATCCAAGTAAAAATGGTCCTGTAGCTGATGAGGACCAACTTCATATGGATGTGTTTGTTTGAAATAACCTCATGTTACCATGTTACTGTGAGAGTGGAAACAAGAGTCACCACATTTTTCTCAGCAAGCAGAAGTCCACAACTCTATATTGTGACATGTTGGGTCTTGTTACTTGATTCTTTCGCAGTTATCACAACAGACCGTCTGTCTGTCTGTGTGTGTCTGTGTGTGTGTGTGTGTGTGTGTGTGTGTGTGTGTGTGTGTGTGTGTGTG